TCCTGATAATGTTTCATCCAAACTGGTGAAAAATTATATAGGTTTTTTGTCAGTACCACTCTTTTACATATTTAATCGTATACTACAAGAAGAGGTCTATCCAGACATTTGGAAAATATCTAGAATCTGTCCCGTTTTCAAAGCTGGTAAAGTTTCTGATATATCAAATTACAGACCAATCGCATTAATCTCAGTTTTTTCCAAAATTTTTGAAATTATATTTTCTAATATATTATATCCCCACGTTAAAAATTCAATCACGGAATACCAACATGGTTTTGTGAAGCTCAGAAGTACCGCGTCAAATCTGTGTACATTTACGCAATACATATCTAGTTCTTTAGATTGTAGAAATCAAGTTGACGTCGCATACACAGATTTTAGTAAAGCGTTTGATGAGGTGTCTCACAAACAATTGCTTCTGAAACTGAGACAATTTGGTGTTTCAAAGAGTATGCAATCACTGTTAAAGTCTTTTTTAACTAATCGACAGTTATATGTTGAATATGAGAGTGCCAAATCTTTTAATTTCGTGTCAACGTCAGGGGTTCCTCAGGGCTCGAATTTGGGCCCTTTATTATTTGTTATTTTTATTAATGACATCTGTCATTGTATCAACTCTAAGAAACTCTTGTTTGCAGACGATATGAAAATTTATAGGGAAATAAAGGATACCTCAGATTGCATTGCTCTTCAAAACGACCTTGTAAACTTACATAACTGGTGTATCGTAAATAAACTATCTTTGAATACTAACAAATGCAAAGTCCTGTCCTTTTCCAGGAAAGTAAACACTGTCTTATACGACTATCAATTAGATAATCTTGTTATTCCCCGGATATATAATTACAAAGAATTAGGTATCTTATTTGACAGCAAACTGACTTTTTCGGAACACATTGAAAATTCTGTGCAAAGTGCAACAAAAATCTTGGGTTTTGTTATTAGAAACTGTAAAAAAGTTTAAATCTTTAGAAGCCATCTTCTCTGTTTATTTTTCACTAGTTCGTAGCAAACTGGAGTATTGCAGTTGTGTTTGGAATACTAACCATTTAAAGTACATAAGTGCATTAGAATCTGTCCAAAGAAAATTTTTAAAATTTATTTACTTTAAAACACATGGCCGTTATCCTATTCGTCACTATGATTATAATTTATTGTTAGAAGAATTCAGTTTTGTGAGTCTGAGAAAAAGACGAGAAATAGCAGATTTGATATTCATCTATAAATTAATTAATAATTCTATAGATTCATCTTCTCTGCTATCTCAATTTAATTTTCATATCCCACGTATTACATCAAGGTCAAATATAACATTTCATATTCAAGTGCCAAATTCACAACATCACTTTCACAGTCCTTTAACTACAATGTGTAGAAGTGTTAATCAGTATTCTGTTGATATATTTTTTCTAAAATTTTACCAATTTAGAGAGCAATGTTACAGATTGGTATCAAATTAGGTAATTAGAATGTAATTTAGTTAAGTAAGTATTCTCAAACTTTGTATTTTTAAATATTATATTATACATCTGTAATTGGGCTGATAAAGCCTGTTGGATGTATTAAATAAATAAATAAATAAATAGCTGTTTAGTTATCTAGCATCTAGTATTACCAGATATTATTTTTTGCTGCTCATAGAGCAGATTACTACTTTCACTTAGTCTCGTCTAAAGTACCAATCACGCGCTGTATATTGGGTTGGTGGCTGGAACTCACTTCTTCCTTTACCAGCACTTGGAATGCAAGTATAACATTTGTAGCTGTAGACGCCGCTAGGAACCGATATCGCCCTACTCGCCAAGTAAAAGATCTCCAATTTTATATTGATAGTTGCATCTGAATAATAGCTGCCATATAACCTGTAAGAGAAATAACATTTAATTAAATAATGACCATGGATCGTTACGATCCTATATAATATTAATTTATTTTTATTATTTATTTTAATTGTATCCAAATAGGTTATTCGCGTCAAAATTGTTTTCACTTTACTCTTTATACGTATATTTTGATGAACCTATTCCTAAACCTTATGACCCGCCTCTGGTTTTTGTTTTTTTCCGTTTTTATCATTTTTATCCAAATCGTGCCTTCGAATATTTTGATGAAAGTAGCCGAAGGACAGTACGAGTACGAGTTTTGGGACACTCGGTACGACATCGAATACAAAATTATCACCAATTGAGTCGGTGGCACGAATATTTCCTATTTTCCCAAGAATCAGAACTATACCTTGGTAAGTCAAAGAAAGATTGATTTTAATAATACGATTTACATATAACAACAAAAAACAATTAATTAAACGCCACATGAATCAATTTATCCTAACATAAAAGCAGTCCACTCAATTTTTTTACTTGGTAACGAACCATTTCTTTGGTCCTTCGAGCCGGATGCCGTTTCGGTGTGAGGTTTAATTAGTTGTTCATTTATAACGCTATTTGGATACAAAAATAATTAATTACTGTTTATTTCGTGTAATTTTAATTATAGGATTCATATTATTTTGTTTAGTTTACTATTGCTACTTCCATATTATAATTTATATACAAATAAATTGGGAATGATCTTTACTTATCGAAATAACGTAAATATTCTACCTTCCAATCAATTTATATACATATAATTTGTTGGATTTTTTTGTTCTGACCTTAACAATTTAAAGTTATTCAAACTGATTCAGTTATCCTTTTTTCTTACAATAACGCTGCTAGCTGATAAGGTGTGTTGGTATTCGATATTGATTTTTTAAAATAATTCAAATTATTTACGATTTATAAATAGATTTCCTTTACGAGGGGAACTCAATTGTGGGTTTGTACTTTTTTAATTTTGTTCACAATGCCTACGATGGAAGAAAAAATTAATCGCAATAAAGCACTTGGGCATTTAGATACATTAGATGCTCTGAGTCAAAATGCATTGACTAATTCGAGTAAACGTACTTCGTTTAAAGTTGGTTTTCGTCAATTTACTAAAATTAAAGACAATTTTGATGAACATCATAATAATTTACTTGCTTTAATTGCTTCAAATGCAGATGAATTAAATACAGAAACTGCCATTTTAACTGATTTTTATGGTATTGCAAATGAAATTGATGCAGATAAGTGCACTAATATTGCAAATTCTACTATAACTTCTAATTCCTTTGCTGCACCTGGAGATAATGTTAAATTACCCAAATTAGATTAAATTAAATTTAATGGTGATATTGAACAATTTCCTTTGTTTATTGAAACCTTTAATTCTTTAATACATAATAAGCCTATGCCAAATGTGGATAAATTTAATTACTTAAACTCAGTGTTAGGTGAAAAACCACGTGCTTTAATTAAAAATATACAACTCTTAGGTGACAATTATGTCAAAGCTTACTCTAGGATTGTTGATAGATATCTTGATGAAAGAAGGTTAGCAGAAACCTATTGGAGAGCTCTTGAAAATTATCCTTGTATGACTAATGAGAATCCAAAATCTTTACGTCTACTTTTGGATACCTTTACAGAAAATATTTCGGGTTTAGTAGCTCTCAGATTGAATAAAAAAAATTGGGGTTTTATCTTAGGACATATGTTACTTGATCGCGTCCCTGAAGCATCTCGTATATATTTTGAAGATGAATATAATTCTCAGGATATTCCAGTATATTCCCAAATTGAACCAATTTTATTAAAACATTGTACGGCTTTAGAAAAGGCTTGTAAAAATTCTCCAAAAAGACAATTTGATAAAACTAATTCTTTGTCAAACCCTCGTAATTCAACATTGCCTGCTAATAATAGTCGCAATATTAAAAACTTTATCGTTTATACAAATGTGTGTACGCTTTGTAAGGCCTCGCATATAATTTATCGTTGTCCGATTTTTTTGGCAAAAACTCCTAAACAAAGATTTGAATTTATTAAAATTTCAAAATCATGTACAAATTGTTTAGCTAATGCTCATTGTTTATTGGTATTAATTACAACAATTAAGCTCTGAAATCTAATCATGGTCCTTCGAGTCGGAGATTGACTAACATGTGGTATTATACTTTACAAAAGTATCTCTCAAATGAGATTCATGAAAATCATCTTGTGGTATCTTATTACAATAATTAGCTTTAAAATCTAATAATGGTCCTTGGAGCACAAGTTTAAAATTTTTGAAAAACCTTTGGAAGAAGCAAACTTCAACATGAATAAAAACAAGAAAATGAAGTCTTTCTGCCAATCTCAATAACAAGTTTGACCAAATCCAAGCCAAAATCCAAGAAACAACCGCTTTAAAACGAAGTAGAAGCTCGTATCAAGCGAAATCGACTACCATACAACCATACAAGCAAGGGACTTCCGCTCGCTTGAAGTTCTCCATATCCAAGAACCACCAATGCTTTAAAAACAACTCGAAACTCGTATCAAGCGAATTCGACAATTATACAACCAAGAAACTTCCGTTCGATTGAAATTCCACATACTCAAACCCAAGAAGCAAAGGACTTCCGTTTGATTGAAGTTCTACACACCCAAGAAGCAACCGCTTTAAAAACCGCTATTGTGTTACCTACACTAATAGCTTTATGGGTCCTATACAAAAAGATCCACCACCATATCGGCCGTGGTCCACCAGCATCGCCACACCAAACTGAGATGATCGAACTGCAGCCACTAGCCTCAGTCAGGACCGAAAATCCGGGTGAATCAAGATGAGAGTCGCTAGTATGTTCAGATTTTAACATTTTTCTTTATATTCACCAATTAAATTAACATCCTGTATATTAAATTAATTATTTATTGAATTAAAATGTTTAATTTCATATGCAATTAATAATAAACACGTTCCAATTTCGTACTAGTTCGATGTTTAAATTATAATAATAAAAATGCTGACTTATTTCAAAATTATTTTCAAAACATTGAACTAGAGAGACTGAAATTGGAATAAAAATATTTTTCTAATGTACATTTAAATAATTAAATAATATTAATTGTTATTGTATATTGTTTATTCTGTGAAAATATAAATGTAAATGCAAACGAAAAATAAAGAGATTAACCAAGAGATTGACTAAGAACATGTGGTAGTTTACTTTACAAAATTATCTCTGAAATGAGATTCATGAAAACCATCTTGTGGTATTAATTACAACAATTAAGCTTTGAAATCTAATCAGTATATGATGACCTACAGTTTAAAAATTATCAATTATAATAAAAACAACAACTTATTATTTTACAAAATTTTTATTTATTTCACTACTCTCCTAAAACAAAATCAGAAAAAACATTAAACATACTATAAAATTCTTATTTTCATTGACTAGAACTTTTAAAAACTTTGTGAAAACCGAAATTTGCATCCTAATTTATTACATCAAAACTATCATTGGCAGTTTTATTTTGATCTGTGTCTGATTCGCAACTAATGTTCAGTTATATCTAAGGCATTCTAAAGATAATTTAAATTTGGAAAATAGACTGGTTTAAATTTACCGAAACCATTGAAAACTCAATACAAAATAGCAGGCCTCGGTATACGTTTTCTTTGACCAGAAAAGTCATCTTGTGGCCTTACTATGGGAACAATTTTATATGAAGACCTCTTGAATCTGTATGTCCCACCTATGTTTAAATTTGGTTTTGATTTACCGGATCCATCGAAAACTTGGTCCCAACCTACATTCAGGTTTTTATTTTTTACATTAACACCGGCATTGATGTTACCATTTTCATCTGTGTTTGTTTTGTGACTAATTTCCCATGGTTTTTCTTGAGGAGACCTCTTGAACCTGTATGTTCCATCATCGTTACCATTTATAATTGAATCCAGTCTTAGTGGCTCAGATTTTGCTAATGCGATTGCTATCAGCAACAAAATACATCCTAATGTTATCTTCATATTGATCCGCCAATCTTTAATTATAAAAAAAATATTCTATTATAAAATTGTTTTCAATATAACCCTTTCTACATTTTTTTTACTGCGACAGGAAAAAATTTGATATTTGTCATACTTTAATAATTTTTACTCCCCGATACATCAAGGGTGTCCCATAAATGCGTAATTGCTCAGTATTTTAATTTGTATTATAGAAATTCAAACTAAAAGTTTTATGGATTCAAATAAGGCATACTTTAAAACTATTAGAAGCAATAAAAAATCTAAGCTTTTATGGTATTATACATTTTTCTAGTAGATACATGATGTTTTTGAAAAATTTTCTCGTCGTGAGGTGACGAGGGATGATTATAAAAAGTGGAGGATTTTTTATCAATACAATTTTACACTTAACTTTTATGAAATTGATGTTTTTATGTAAGTATTTATTGATTAATATTTTGAGCAAGTAAAATTAAAAAAAAAAATAATTTCTTTGGTTTTTGTCCTAATAAAAAATTAATAATTTGCAAAAATGTAATTAAAATGAAATGTTAAAGTTAATGAATGGAAAATCTCACGAAACACCATTAGTAAAAATAGTGCGAATGTCTTTAAAATATTTAATTATCGTTTAAAAATAAATTGATACTTTTTAATATAAATAATATTAACACTTAATATGTCGAATGTAAATTACAGACTGCAGATATCAATTAAAAAATTGATTTACCTACCTATTATATTATTAAATATATTCTTCTATTTTCACGTGGAACAGAACATACAGCTGTATTGCCAAAATATCTCTTTCATGTGCTATTTTATAACCTTTTGTTATCGTTATACAGTAAAACTACTTATTTTTATTGATAAATTTATTATTATTTTATTATTATTTAAATAACATTAATTATACATAATTAAATTTTTATAAGATCACCAGGGCAATATATATCGTTATTTTATCTTCTGTTTTATAAATAATTATAAAAATGTATATAATAATCTTTATTTTCTTATTGATTCTGCTTCAATGTTGTCAAATCGTAAATATTTACAAAACTTAAAAACAAATACCTTACAGTGGAACCGTTGAACCTCTGGTAGATATCCTAAAAACACCGAAAGTACTAGCAGATGAAATTAATAACAACATAATTCTTAAAAATCCCCCTGCTGTCACCTTATAACATACAAGGGTGTCCCATAAATACGTAATTGCTCAGTATTTTAATTTGTATTATACCTAAGGTACTTACAAGTTCCACTCAAATAATGTTGAATCTTTTTATAAATAATCACAACATATCAACAAATAGGTAAATAAAATTTAAGTACCGTTGGACGCAATACTGGGTCATTAGAAAACTAATAAAAGGGTTAATAGATGTGGCCGTGATAATATTGATTACTAAATAAAGGAAATTTCCAAATTAAGCATAATCTTTAATATCAGTTGACTATAATCTATTTGAGGAACTATTGCTAAAGCTATTTACACCTATTATTAAAAAAAAATAATTTCTACGCATTCGTTTGGGTTTAGGAACAAGCATACAACAGTTAAGGAATTCAAGAAGATCTAGTTAGAACGAATAATTAACAAACAGTAGAAAATGTTGCCAAAATAATATAACTGATCTTATTATTTCAAACAGGATAAAGCATTTTTTTACAATAAAATATAGGTATACCGTGTATCACAAGGCAGCGTGCAAGGACCAGTGCTTTAACTGTTGTTGACTTGTGGTATACTACAGAACAAAAACGTGTAGATCACTACTAAAGAATTTATTGATTATTGAATTCTGAATGAAACAAGTCGTGGAGAACAAGAGTATTCTTTAGCTTTATATATATGAAAAAAGGAAAAACTTACCAATAACCTCGCCAGTAACTATAAATAATAACGAGATTCCACGCTAAAATACAATAAAATACAATGGTAATGAACCCGGATGTTCTGTCAAAATAGAAAGCATATATTATAAAGAAAAAAAAGAAAGAAATAATTTGACTTATATAAAAAAATACATTCGCTATTGGGACGAAAATCAAGTTTTTTTTGTATACACAGATTTTAAAACCAGTCTGGCTGTATAGAATCCATTTCCGATATGAATCAAGGTACAATATATACAAACTTCATATTTTTTATAAAAAAGTTCTTCAAGATATTGTAAACGCAACATAGTGTTGTAAAAATTATCACCTTCACAGAGATTTGAAGATGTTGACTATGAAAGAAGACATAAGATTTGCAGGGATATACGAAAAAAGACTCTACTTTTATGATATTACCGATCAAGTTCTAGATGTTATGTTGAGAATGGGATGTTAATACACTGCGACATAAAAGATCTATTGCGCCCCCTTCTGTCGCCACTGCACTAAGGAAATGTCTTAATGCCTATAGCGACCCTTCCAATCCTATTTTCTTAAGGAAGTGTAGGATTTGAAGTGGCTTCAAGTTAGGTAAGTCTCCCTCTTCTATTTGATATCCTCCTAGATATAGTGCCCTTGGATTCAGTTAGGATGTGAATGGAGGTTTCGTCCTCCTCCTCACAGAATCTGCATTCACTATCCTCTACTACCCTCAGTTTACTTAGGTGTCCTTTTAGTCGGCAATGCCCGGTAAGGATCCCTGTTACAATACGTAGCCTGTTCTTGCTCAGGCAGATGCAGGCTTCCGATCTTTCTTGGTTATATTCACCCAGAAGTATCTTGGCCTGTCTCAGCCCCAAGAGATTGTTCCAATTATCGGTTCTTCTACTACCCAATTCTTTTTTAATCTCTTCTAATATTATGTTACTGCTGATACGCAGAACGGCTCAGGTCCTACAAAGGGTGTTTGAGCCCCTTTCCTTGCAAGACTATCTGCAATCTCGTTACCCTGTACCCCGTTATGTCCCGGGACCCAAGTGAGAGTAACTCTATTTTTTTCGCCTAGCTCATTCAATTGTTCTAGGCATCTCCAGACCATTTTTGAGCTGATTACGTAAGAACTCAGCGCTTTGACGGCTGCTTGACTATCAGACATGATGGTAATCTCTTGTCTATGATAGTTTCTCTCGATATTAAACTGGATACACTTCTTGATGGCGTGAATTTCCGCCTGGAAGATGCTTGGGCATTTTCCCAAGCTTTCGGAGTGCTTGGTTCTCGGCCCATACACTCCTATTCCAGTTTCTTCTATGGTTTTGGAACCGTCCGTATACCACTGAATAGCACGTCTTTTGGTTGCAAGCGCGATGGATTCTTGGCTCCATTCTTTCTTGCAGCCCAGCTCTGTGGTTTTGAAGTTTTTCATAAAACTGTACTTCTTTTGCATTTTATCCTGGGGCATGTCCCAGGTATCTTTAGTTCTGAAGCAAGTAGACTTTCGTCTGATACAAGTTCTAGATAATGTAGCACTTAAAAAAGAAGACCTGATAGAATTAATGGTTTTGAACTTGTGCTGTTACTGTGGTAGTTACTTTAAAGTCACTTTGTAGTTACTGTGTAGTTACCGTCAAGTTATGGAGAAGAGTATATGATAGCATCTGGAGTTCCTCAGGGATCTGTCTTGGATCAACTACTATGGAATATCTTATATGATGGAATATTACGTATATAGAGAACACCTCATATTAATCTCATTGCCTACGCAGATTACTTAGCAGTCATAGTCACAGACAGAACGGAGGAACGCCTTCTGGAATAAATCAACGAGTGGGTAAAACTAAATGATCTTAAACTAGCACCGGAAAAACAGAGACAGTGTTTCTAATTGGTAGGAAAACTGAGTAGACCAATTACGTTTACAATTGAAGAAGTCCCTATCATACCAAAAAATGTTATAAAGTACCTAGGGGTCACATTGGATAAAAGCTTGTCATATAAGAAACACTTCGAGAATGCAGTAGCTAAAGCAAAGAAGGTTATGGCCTCGTTAATAAGACTAATGCCCATTAAAGGGGGAGCTTATGAAACAAAGAGAAGACTATTGGAAACAGTAGTCCGTTTAATCCTAATGTATGCATTAGAGATTTAGAAAATGCTTTACAAAGACAAATAAACTAAAAAAAGTAGCACAATTACAAATAACGATGGCGATCAGAATCTGCAGAGGATATAAAACAATATCTGTGGAAAGCAGCCTCGTTATCTCCGGAATTATACCCATAGACTTGCTGATTGAAGAAAGATGTGAAGTTAAAGTCAAGAGCATAGCTGAACAGAAAGAAGCTAGAAAAAAACTTTAGAAACGTGGCGTACGTAATATTGAAAAATGAATTAAACGGAAACTAGGAAACGTCACATTTCATATTACTCAATGTCTAACTAGTCACGGCTAGTTTATGGATTACCTGAATAGATAAGGTGTGACTGAGCAACAAGATTGCATGTATTGTCCGAATTGTCCGAACGTCACAGACGTCTAATATCTTTTGAATATTTTGTTACCAGTCTCAATAGAAAAAATACTGCGCAGTTACCGTGCAGTTGCTATACAGTTACTGTGTATTTACTGTCTAGTAACTGTGTAGTCTGTTTACAAACCACCACCCATCAAGGAGGAAGAATTTGTTGATAACCTTTGGACATATCTGGAAGAAACAAAAAACAACCTAAAAAATCATAAACATATCTTTGTAGGAGACATTAATATAAATATAAAACAAAATACTGATTTAGTCTCCTCCTATTTAGATACGCTAGGGGAATTTAATTTTGTATCTCTGATAAATAAATATACACGAGAAAAGGGACCCTCAAAAAGTTGTTTAGATCACATTTTTTATAGTTACAATGCACCTACCTTAGACAATTATACGGCGGCAATTTTTGATACACAAATAACAGACCATAAAGCTACTATTGCATATTTTCCTCTAAAAGTTGATGTGTGTCCAAAAACGTCATTTGTTAAAAAAATTAATTACGATAAACTGAAACTAGAATTAGGTAATCAAAATTGGAAAACTTATTACTCTATAGAAAATGTAAATGAAAAAGTTAAGCACTTAACAGAAACTCTAAATTTACTTTTAGAAAACAATACAAAATTAATAAAACAGAAAGACCACCATAAAAAAAGAAAACAATGGATAACAGAAGGAATTATAAAGTCAATAAAACAAAGAAACCTTTTATACAGTATTCATAAAAAGAATTTTGATGACGTTGAAAAAAAAATGCAATATTTAAATTATAGAACACTTACAGATAAATTAATTAAACAAGTTAAAAAAGATTTTTACACCAAACAAATAAATGAAAATAAAACTAGTTCGAAAAGGTTATGGGACACTTTAAAACAAATACAAGGAGATAGTAGAAGTAATAGAGAAATACGTGAAATAACTACAGATGAAGGGAAAAATATTACAGACGCAAAAGATATAGCAGAAAGATTTAATAAATTTTTTTCAGAAATAGGCACATCACTTGCAAATAAAATAGATGACCCAAACTCACCACCTCCGGTCAGAAATATTCACAAAAATTCTTTTGCGCTACTACCAGTAACTGAAAAAGAAATAAATAATATCATTAATTCACTTTTGAACAAAAAATCGCCTGGAATAGATAATATTTCCTCAGAATTAGTATAAGAAAATTCTGATACATTAGCACCACTTTTGATGGATCTAATTAATAAAATGTTTGATAAAGGTGAGTTCCCAGCCGAATTAAAAAAATCTTTAGTAGTACCAGTCTTTAAAAAAGGAAAAAAGAGTATGTTTACAAACTACAGACCTATTAGTTTAATAACAACTTTTACAAAAATAGCAGAAAAAGCCTTAAATTTACGTTTAAAAGATTACCTCAATAAATATAAAATCATCTCAAACAAACAATTCGGGTTTCGAGACGGGCTCTCAACAACAGATGCGATCTGTGAGTTGTTAAAAAAAA